AAAAGGGAAAAAATCAAATACAGACAAGAGGGAAGGAAGAAGAAAATGGAAATAGAAACTGACATCCTCAAGTCCTTTCTTCCTTTTTAAGCCAAGAGAGAAGGGAGGAAGGAAGAGGTAGAGAGGCAGACAAAGAAAGGTAAAGGGAAAAAAACAGGGGAACAAAACTCATATCACCTCATAAAGAAATGGATACATAAAAGAACCAAAAATTTATGATTATGACCTAAGACAGTCCTTCTTAATCACATTTCTGAGTCATGGATGAAAGCTATTGACCCCCTTCCCCTGAAGTTTTGTCATAAATGCAATTTTGCATGCAATGTGTAGATTTTATTGTCTTACACATATATGAGATACACAAAGTATTACTGAACTTTAAAGTAAACAAAAAAACACTCCTTTCCATGAAAAAAGTAATACTAATCTTTATCTGATAACCATGTACCCCCTGAAACCTATCCATGGACCTCCTAGGAGTCCATAGACCCCAGTTAAGGACCCCTGAACTCCTGAAAAATAATGAGAATCCAAGATATAATGAAAACCCCACAGAACACAGCCCACAGTAAATCATTGATACAAGCAAACAACACAACATCTGTCCTTTGACACAAATGTAAAAATTCTTGTCAATCTTATTATGTAAAAACAAAGTTGCCATGGCGAACAGTTGCTAGGGTATATTTTTTCTCACTTTCAACTTCCCTGATATTCAGATATATCTTGCAACTGTCATGGTTGCATGATGATAGATCCTGTTAACCCAATGTGCGCGGGCTTTTTCGGGAGCCCTGCGGCACGCCAAACAAGTATACCTATATGGGCACACCTGTAGGGCTGCCACCCACAGCATCAGCGCTAAGCTGCCATGGCATCATAGTAGATGCCACCCTCAAACACAGGGTTAAGTAATCATATCTAGTTGCATGACCCTCACACCAGCACCCAAAGAATCCAGAAAATAAAACAAGCTCTACTGAGAGACAGATGCAAAATTATTCATATCTATTATGCATAATCCATTCATGACAGAATAAAATCCTGTGGTAGACTATTCCTCACATCAAGATGATGTCACATCATGGGCAGTTGAGCCTACTCCATGTTATACTTGCTAAACAATAATGAACTATTTTGGTCCTAGTTGCAGTCATTAAGGAGAGACAGCCCCTCAAAAGTAAGTTTAAAGTTTCTTATTACCTTCAGTACCTACAGAAGCATTTATGCAATGGCCAATAGTATAAAAATGAGTGATTTTGTGGTTCAGGCACTTTTAATTTTTCCCTTGAGTAGCTGGCTGTGTGTGCAACCATACACATAGGTTTGGTATAGCTCTCTCGTAATTAGCGGGTTAAAATCAAAGTGACTAAACTATTCTGTTATTACTATGCACACTGTTGTGGCAATACCTATAGAATGAATGCAGAGTAAAGAAATCACTCTATTTCTGAAAGACTGTGTAATGGGATATTCTTTTTCTTATTTCAAAGGTGATACATTTCCCTAATAATCACCATAAATGGTATCAATGACAGGTTCCTAATTGTATATATTGTATACATTTCACACTTACCTCTACTGTTAAGGACCCTGACACTTCATCATTTTCATAGGGTCGTGACTGTAGTGGGATAATCTGCCTTTGAGAAGGAGTTGCAACTAGTTCTTCTATACCTACAATGCCAAGGCCTAAGAAATTTCCATCCTTCTTATCATAAAGTTCAAAAAGGAGTTCTAAAGTGCCATCGCTGAGATCACTGTAAAGAACAAATGAAAATTAACTGACTAAATAACTCATTGGATATAATGATTTTCAGAACATAACACAAGGGAAGGGAAATCAATAAATAAATAAATCATTTTCTAAATAATGATCATATTACAAGTAAAATTATGATTAACTTATTATACACAAAACTTTTGCCTAAAAATAAAAAAATTCCTGAATATTGTAGTAGTTATCATTACTAGAAAACAACAGCATGTGCATCATCATACATCATGATTTAAATAAAACTTCTTTATAAATAATGAAGACATTGTAAATGATATAACATGATATAACATGAGTTATATAGAGACATAGTACTTACAATAGAAACTGTTCATCCCAAAATGGTGAATTTGTGTCCTTAATAACCGAGGTAGTGAACTTCTGGGGTGGCTCATCCATTTCTACTACTGTGTATCCCTCCAATACAGCTTTAAGAAACATAAAAAAAATATCTTTAAAAAGATAATACACATTAAGCTTACAATTTAAACTTATCCCTAGAGCAAAATATGTAATCCATTTCAAGACAAGATCACAACCACTGATTTATCAAAACTGAATCCTTTCAATCAAAACTTCAAAATCATACAAAGCATCTTTAACCCATTGCCACCGATGAAAATTAACAAAAAATGGGGAAAATGTTGTGCCTATTTTCTATATTTTTTGTGGAATGTCTGCCGATAGATGGCTCTGTTCGCGCCTGATTTGAAATGGCAGGAA